GTGAGGACTGAATGAGGTAACACGGGCACACTGTAGGGAAGGTGTGAGGACTGAATGAGGTAACGCGGACACTGTAGGGAAGGTGTGAGGAGTTGATGAGATAAAGCGAGCACATGGTAGAGACGGTGTGAGGACTGAATGAGGTAACGTGGGCACGAGATAGGGATGGTGTGAGGACTGAATGAGGTAATGCCAGCACACAGTAGGCACTATGTCAGGGTTTGCTTTAAAGTAAAAAAGTTAAGAAGATTAGGGGCTGAACTCAAAATGCTACAGAAGCCTTTGGGGCTGCAAATCTAGATGTCTCTGTAAAATCAAGTGATTTTTATAAACCTACTTGACAACTAGTTTAAATTTCTAAAACACATTGTATGGTTCAGACAAAATATCTTTGTGCTGGACAGGAGCTAGGGTCAACCTAAAACTCAGAGCTTCAAACCACCTACCCAGAATTGTTCCCACTCCAGTTATAGAAGTCTACCATTCTGGAATCTTCTGCTGAGAGCACCATTACCCTCCAGATTTCCATAAGCATTCTGTAAATGCCTCTTACAGATTGTCTATCGAGTGCTAAGCACTTAATAGGAATAAACTCATTAGAACCCTATGAGGGAAGTATATGTGTCCCATTGTACAGATGAGCAAACTGAGACTGCAAGAGACATGACTCTTTTGCTCAGGATTTCCCATCCAATGAGTTTCCCAGCAGGGCTTTGAACTGCCTAATCACTACACTGTCTACTGGGTTTCCTGTCCAGCCTCACTCCTTCCCAAATTACTTTTCAGGCTCCAGGCAGGCTGGTCCGTCCACCCTAGTGGCCAGCCGGACAGACAGAAGAAGCAGGAAGAGCTGACAGATGAGGAGAAGGAAATCATCAACAGGGTAATCGCTCGAGCTGAGAAGATGGAAGAGATGGAGCAAGAGCGAATCGGGTGAGGCCTGACATTTCCCATTCATTCCGAGAGTCACTGGGGCATGAGGACCAGGCCCCAGGGCCTCTTGTCAGGGCCTGTGCTGGGTGGTGCAGGCCTGCCTTTGGGACTTGTCATCTGTGACTTGCCAGGCCATCCACCCAGGTAGAGCTGGAATCCTTGTCCCAGGAGGTGGGAGAGCTGGAAGAGGAGAATAGGGAATAGACGAGAGAGAGAGGGCTGGGGGCTGGCTGGGCAGGGGGCTTCTTTGCTGGGATGGCTTAAAGAAGGGGAAGGGTAGAAGTCTTCTGAAAGGGAAATGGGAGCTTGTCACCAGAGGTTGGGAAGGGGAGTGTGAGCAGAGGGTGTCATAGTCAATTACAGCTTCCTTGAGGTATGTTCTAGAAACACTGTCCATGTAGATGCCAGATGCACAGCTCAGGGTGGGGTGAGGAGGAGAGAGAGTTGTGTATAAAAGAGAGAGCACCTTTGAAATGAGTTCTGTAACCATATTGGAGAAACCGATCCTGTAAGACCCGGGCAGGCAGCACGGAGGTAAGGCAGCAGAGGTTAACCCAGTGGGTCTGGACTCAAAGAGACTGGGGTTCCATCCAGCTCCCCACTTGCCTGTGGTGGCTCTTGGGCGCATTGCTTCACCTCTCTGAGCCTCAGTTTGCTTCCTGGTAGAAAGGGGACTATAACAGTAATCATCCCACAGGGTGGTTGTGAGGATTTAGCAAGGTGATGAATGTACTGACAGTATTAAGTGTTTCCTAAATGGTAGGGAAGAGAAGGGTGGGGCTCAAAGGGCAGAGAAAATGAAGCAGGGGCTGTTGGAAGGCTGTGTTATGTAAGAGGATGACACAGTCGAGCAAAGACAGTGATGGGAGAGAAAGGCAGCAGTATGAGGATGGGCTTGAGAAGGGGGAGTGGGGAAAAGTGTGAGCATGGTTGAAGCGAGAGAAATGAGGGGGAGTTACCAGGAGGAAAGGAGAGTGAGTGTGTCTAGGGAGGCTCTCGGCACAGGTGGAAATGGGCTGATACCTCCGCCTCCATCCCCAGGTCCCTCCTGAAGGCCTTTCTGCCAGGGGCAGCCTTTGCCACCTGCTGACACCCTCCCTACGCACTCAGCTGGGGGTGAATGAGGTGAAAGTAATGCTACAAATACACAGGAAGTGGGTACCTTTGATTTGAGCCCCTGCAGGTAATTTCACTCAGAGTTACTATTGACGAATGACAAATACCTGCCACAGGCTGTGTCAGCTTCATGCTCAACCCTCCATCAGCTTCTTCAGGCACTTGCTGAGGGGAGTTGTCTTGAGGGGCCTGCTTATAGGGTTGAGTTTTTGTTTTTGCTGTTTTGAAGATGTATCAGGAACGGAAAATTTTCCAGGGCTGGGTATGTGACTGTGTGTGTGTGTGTGTGTGAGCGTCTGTATGTTCACTTCACATGACAATGGGCCTCAAGCCTTGCAGGAGGGAGGGGTATGGATTTTAAGAATAAAAGCCTGATTTTGGAAGCAAAATCTCCACTCACCTTTTTTTTTTTTTTTTTCCCTGCATAGCCCTTACCAGCAGCTAACATCTTTTATATTTTACATGTTTATTTGATTATTGTATGTCTTCCCCCACTAGATTATAAGATTCCTGAGAGCAAAGGGTTTTTCCTGTTTTGTTCACTGCTGTATCCCCAATATCTGGCAGTAAAATCTTTGTTGAATGAATGAGTGAACAGCATGGCAGAAAGTGATTGCCCCTACCTTCCCCCCACTTCCTTTCCACATCTCCTGTTGCCAAGAGACTGGAAAGTTTAGAGTCTTGTAATCCAGAGTCCAAATTCCCAGGGAAGAGACTCTGATTGGCTGGCTTATGTCAGGTGCTACCCCTCATCCAATCAGCGGCAGCCATGGGTATCAGGCCATGTTGTACAAACATGGCTCCCTTTAAGTTGTACAGAGTTAAGAGGGTCTCTGTGGACTGAGAAGATCTCAGCTTGAATGTTCTGGACCAGGGTACATGGGGTCCCTGACTTGTTCTCCAAGTCCTGCCAAATTCCCTAGATTAACCTGGTGTCATGGTGGATAACATAGTAGGTAAGAGCTGGGGTCCCAAAGTCAGAGAGACCTGGATTCAAATTCCAGCTCTGCCACTGACTACCTGTATGGCTTTAGGTAAGCTATTTTAACCTCTCTGTGCCTCAGTTTCCACATCTGCAAAATGAGGATAACAAACTTCTTGCTGAGTGTTTAATTAGCTTGCAAATGATAATCATGGTGCCTGGCAGAGAGTAAATGCCCAATGAAGGGAAGCAATTACTTAACAGTGAGTTTGCTCTATTGTTGACATTGGCCGAGGCCTCTGTTCTAGAATTATGCCCCGTGATTCCTGTTTGGCAAGCCCTGGAATTCCAGCAGCCCCTGGCTCCCCTGGAATGTTGAGATGCTTCCAGAGAAGCTTGGCCAAGCCTTTGGTGACTAAATGTACCTTTGCTGGCTGGTATGTTTTCTACCTGATTTCCCAGAGTGGGGACGGTGCTCAGGGAAGATTCTGGCCGTGGCTGTTTCATTGGACCCTCCAGCAGCCAGCCCTTGCTGGTAGCATCGCCAGAGGCAAACTTAAGGCTATTTGTGTCTTATAAGCTCCAACCTGCCCTAATTCCTGTTCTACCCACGCTTTCCTGGGAGGGGATCAGAGTGGAGTCAGATGAAAGGGAAGCAAAGCATCAGACATGGGGTGAGGCGAGGTGGGGTGTCATCTGGGGCTCCCCCTTCAGAACCTGAGGCTGTCAGTTAATGAGCATTTGGGGCCTCAGTTTCCCCACTGTCAAATGGGCAGACCAGTCTGATTCTCAGGATCATTCCTGCTCAACTCGACAATATCTAGGGTGTCTGGTGGAGGACTCCACACTATGTTACGTTGGCTGTGCGTCTAGAGCAAATGTTGTTCTTATTATTGTTAGGTGCCGTCAAGTTGGTTCCGACTCATAGTCACCCCATGTATAACAGGATGAAACATTGCCTGGTCCTGTGCCATCCTCACACTAACTCTGTGAAGCTGATTTTCCTTTTGTGTGACCTAAGTAAAAGTCGTCTGGGAGAGGTGTGAAATCATTGTAGCAAGCATGATAAATAATCGTCATAACAGGTACCATTAATGAGCGCTAACTATGTGCCAAGTACTACACCTAAAACCTTTCTATGGGTTAGCTCATTAACCATTCCTCTCCACCCTATGAAGCACATGTTATTATTATGCCTATTTTGCCATCCAGGAAACTAAGGCTTAGGGAGGCTAGGTCACTTGCTCAAGGTCACATAGAGCCAAGATGCCCAACTCTGGCTGGCTGACTCTCTGGACTGTGCTCTTAACTATTAGATGTGTTGTTCCTGAAGGCCCATCCCGAATTCCTAGGCTCTGCAGAACCTGGGAATTGTGATAGCTCAGGTTTGGAGGGGAGGTTTTGGAAGGTGGACCTCCTTCAGTGCTGGCTTAGTGATTCTTTCCAGCTCTTAGTGACCTGTCTGCACCTGCAAAACTGCCAGAGCTGATCTCCATGCTGCCCTGCCTCTGAGAGTCTTCTAGAGGACAGTGGCCCTCAGACTCCCAGGAGGCTCTGCCTCCCTGGGGCACTTCTGCTAGAGGTAGCCGCCCCAGGAAGCCCCTGGGGAACCCCAAGCCATGCAGCAAACCAGAGCTGATTCTCTCCCCGGAGTCCATTTCCTTCTGCTCAAGGTGTATCCAAACCTTCCCTCACTCCTCAGCCCCCAGCCCTGCTCTCCTCAGCATCCCTGGAGGGAGAGACAATAGCCAGAAGGGAAAATAGCCTCATTTTGCCCCGACATTCCTTACTTAAGTGCTAAGTGGGGTGTCAGAGTTTATTCTGAATGCCTTGACTGTGGCTGTTATTGTTAGTTGTCAACTCATGGCGACCTTAAGTATGACAGAAAACGTTGCTGGTTCTGACTGTGGCAGATTTTCTTAGGACACTTTGCTTGCAAGAAAGAAAACTAATTCCAGCTAGGTTGTTTCAGTTATCTATTGCTGTAAAACAAGCCACCTAAACTTGGTGACTTAAAACAACAACAATGCATTATTTTTCATGATTTTGTGGGTTAAGAATTCAAGCAGGGGCTCAGCTGGGTGGTTTTTCTGCTTCAAGTTGTGGTGGCTGAGGTCACTCAGCTGCATTCAACTGGTAGGCAGGCTGGGCTGGATCATCCAAGAAAGCTCCACTCTCAGGTCTGGTAGCTCAGTGTTGTCCATGTGGCCTCTCTCTCTCCTTGTGATCTTTCCTTACTCAGTAGTCTAGCCTGAGCTCCTTTGCAGGGTAGCTGGATCCCAGGAGAGGAAAGGTAGAAGCTGCCAGGCCTCTTAAAAGCCAAGTCTGAAACTGGCAGGACATCACTTCTACCACATTCTGTTGGGGAAGGGAAATAGATCCCATCTCCTGATGTGAACAGTGACATATGCATACAGGGAAGGAAGGCACTGATGATGGCTGTCTTTGGAGACATTACCACATAATGCAAAAAAGGACAATTTAATATGTGGATTCAAAGACGTCTCAAGGGATCTGAGAGCAGGAACAAATCCTAGCCTCAAGACAGATCTGCTTTTCATCCCACATGTCAGAAAAGATAGCCATGCTACACTGCCTCAGTTTTTATAGCTCCTCTTAGTCCTAACTCCAAATTCTCAGGGAAGGGATTCCTATTGGCCCAGCTCTCACTGGGTGCCGGCCCCTCATCCAATCCACTGTAGCCAGAGGTGCCAGGCTATACAAACATGGCTACTGACTGTTTCTGACTGTGAAAGGGGTCTTTGTGACAGGGGTCTTTGAGGACAGGGTGTCCTCAGCACTTATAGAACATATTAAGTCTGGAATTCAACATTTGCCTAGGAAAGTTTGTGTTTCTGTCATTTTTTTCTTTCCCAGGGGTATGTCCCCTGCATCCTCATTATATTTCTTTCTGTCCAGATCCTCAGCATCATGAGGCCTTCTCAAAGGCGTTTGCTTACCT